AACCATCAGCACTTCACAGGACCACCTTTCATTATATTTGCTCTAGATGTATGAGTGAAATTTGATTTCCCCTTAGAAACAAGCTCAGGGGTAGAGATTATCTAAGGTTTTTGTTCGTCTCTAAACTTTTTATGTTCTAGTATCTCGTCTAGGGCTCAGCATCCTCTAGCCCTTCATACTCAGTACCTTGCTGTGATTGCAAATCACAGACACTAACCTTTCTTGCATCTACTGTGCAGATAAAATTGTGTTTAATAAGCAGTTTTTCCAGGAAACTCAGTAAAGGGAAATAAAAGCCCTTTTGCACACATTTTGGGCCTGTTCGTTTTGGAGGTCCTTTTAAACACTTCCAAACACGTCATTTTCCTACATTAAGCAAACTCAGTCCATTTAGGAGAAAGAGGAACAGCGGCCTCCACCAAAATCACCCCCAAATATATGCACATTCTATATTAGGCTCCCTTCCCTCTACTTTCCTGTGCAATGAGAACCATAGTAAATTAAGGACAACCACTCTAGGGAAAAATGGTCGCACTGCTGCTTGAGCTCTCGATAACCTTCAGCATTCAACACTCTTCCTATTTAAAATCCTCACGGGAGCCTGTTGATGGAGCCCAGGTTTTTGAACCTCACAGGACTGTGGCAGTGACTTCAGGAGCTGGTCTGAGGAGTGCTGGTGGCCTCCCACACGCCAGTCCCAGAGGCCACATCTGCTCCTGTACCTACTGCTGGCACCTGCATCCTCAATCATGTCAGCAGTGCCACTTGATCACATGGGCCTGTTTTCTGTAATTAAATCACTCAGCGAACCCATTCCCTTTGTCTGGGATTCTGAAACCACCTAAAACGCAACATGGGTTACTGATCTTATTACCAAACCTCCCCAGTACAGAGTCAAAAATGTGAGTGTGGCTTCTGGCAACGTTTGCATTGATCCTGAAAAAAAATCAATGGGTATTGAAAATGTATGTTCACAAGATGTTCTTCATGAACATGGAGCCTAGAAGCAATAGGTGATTAATTCCCACACAGTAAATGCAGGGAGGGTTTTCAGTCACTAAATGAATTCATCAAAATGTTTACTGAGTAATGTAAAGATGAAATACACTTAATATTTCAGAAAAATTGCAGTTAAGCCGAGGAGCTTGGATTTGGACCAAAAATGGCAGAAAAAGTATACAAATGGAAAAAAACCATATATAAATAGAGTTAACTCTAATGAATGGTTTATTGGAAACCCTCAGAGCATTTTTCAAAAGGACCTGACAGATTCTATTGTAATAAGACATAGTGAAGAGGAAATGGTTTAAAAGATGTCATCAATCTTTTATTTAAATAAGCACTTGCCCTTCATTTTGAAGGAAATGATACAATTTCAAATCTGAACCTCCTTCTCAAGAAGTGGTGTGAGAACATAACATTGATTTAACATACAATCTTCAACAAAAATAAAGTTTACACAATTCACTAGGAAATAAAATACATGAAATTTATCAAGTTAGTCAATGTAATTCTCCATGGGTCACAAGTATCGCTAAGAACAAAGCATAATGAAAAGCTGAATAAGCCAGTCAAGTTTATAGTTACCCTGATTAAAAAAAAAAAAATTCACAAATAAAATGTAACTTTCCAAACAAATCCTTTCAATGATGATCACACTAGATTTTATTTTAATTTACAAAAAAACAATGGTTAGACAATCACATAATATCAAGAGTCTTCAACACAGTGGATTCCATTTTGTTAAGAGAAAAAAAATAGAAAACAAGTAATCCTTAAATTTTCTTCACTCTCCATAGCATATGTTGTAGAAAATTAAAGTTTTGCTTCCAAAAATATGTTTCCATGTGGTTATGGTGTTGTCGACTGGTGCTCTTAGGGCCAGAAGCAGCAAAGACATGAGAAATTTAACTACTGACGTGTCATTTTTCATAAAAACTAAAAATTTCCTTAAAGGTCTGGAGTAAAGTCTTCTGCTAGGCTTGTTAGTGCTATAAAGTCATTTTTAATTAAATGTAGAATAAAACTACAAAAACTATGAGTTCTTTCAATATAAAAAGTTGTGTAGCTGAAGTTGTAGGCTCCTTTGCCATACATAAGCAGTCTCAATAAAATATTTGCTCAAGTAAGAAAATATAATTTGTCTGATTACATTTAGCATCCGTTCCAGTTGGGTGTCCTGCTTATCCCTGCCAGAGCTTCTAAAGAACATTAGAATCAATATTCCTTGCCTTCAAAGAGCATCTGTAATTCACAGTACAAAACAGTTCTAGAATCTTAGTCCTAAGGAGAAACAAAAATTATTAAATATGTATATATTTTTTTAAAGTGCCAGATGTAGCCATTGCCTGGACATTAAAAACTCTTATCCACAACACTGCCATCTTCAAGAAAGATGCCAACAGTTGATTCAGTCCCCTTTCCTTGCAACCTCCAGTGGCTGGTTGGTGCTTTACTTTAACCATGATGACCCTAATAAAACTGCCAACAGAATCACTGTTCTGAAGCATTACATAATTCACATCTCTGGTACCCTGTAAAAACACGTGATAAAGCAGCATCTGGAGTAGATCGTTCCTCTTCTAGATCACTTTCAAGCCCTGTTATCAAAAACCTCTTCTCTAGAGGGAGAATGCTACACTGATATGGATTTTATAGGAGTTCTTCCTTCAAGCTGAGATTTCTCACAAAGCTGTTTGTAACAGAGTCACTGCTGTCCCTCGGTGTGACCAATGACATTCACTTTCCATTGAGGGGTGAGGGAGGGAGACAGAGACCGAGCCGTGGACAAGAGTTGGCTGGCTAGCCCAGAACTGCTAGACAGTGCCGCTCTGTTCTTCTCTCTTGCTGTCTGCACAATGTCATTACATTCAACTTTCCCTTGATTGTGTTAAACGTAAAAGACAATCCAAATCTAGAAGGCTCTCCTAAATGTCTTTACCCACGTTAACCTTGCTCCGCTTTTCCAGGAGCAAAAGAATACAAACACAAAGCTGCGAGATTATTAAACAAGAAAACTAGATCAACATTTCCAACAGGAGACTGACGCTTCTCCAAATTCCTGGACCAGGGCTGAGTGTGGTTCATCTTTAACATTGACAGGATCTGTTTGGGGCTTCCTGTGAAAACAGGGAACATAGCTAATGCCCTTGTAATGAAATAATTTCATGTTGAGGTGCTATAAAGGTCTGGGCTTTTAAAAATTATGGCCTCAAATTCCCAAGTTTAAAAAAAGTACGTGCAACAAGGAAATCCTTCAAGTGTGGTTGCCTTGATTTAAAGATCTCCAGGCAGGAGGCCTGAGGATGGCCACCACTGTGGAACACTCAAGTATGCGTCTACTCCAGCTGTAAGAATTGGGTCACAAAATGACTTGTTCAGCGTAATCTATAATGATTCCCAAGAGAAAAAAAAGAAACTTTACTCAACTTTTGAGACAGCATTAGCAATGCCAATGTGCAGCAGAGGATTCTGAAATCAAGGGCACACATCATTAAAGAGCTCACATGAAAACAAAGGACAGATTGTACACATTTTTTAAAGCCTCAGAGTAAAGCAAACACAGCAGCAGATTCAAATAGTATCAGCCATCCTGCTTCAGACAGATCCCACAATCACCAATCCATGCTTTAGGACTGTCACCAGATCTGGCGCTGACTACACCAGGTTGCATTTATTTATGATTGCTGTCACCCCTCTTCATTGAGAAAGCATTCTGAAGGGGTGTGTTCTCCAAGCGACAAGACTGCAGCAATATAACAAGACTTTACATCTTGAATTAAATTGCATCGAGTGTGGTTAGCAAAATAAACAACTATCACTGAAATATGCCTCAAGCCTAAGATTTTACCACCAGCAAAACAAAACTGAGTGAAGGGGACGAGGCAATGAAGGGAAAAAAAAATTCAGAGGACCACCAAACCAAAGCCTTAAATTAAAAAAAAAAAAAAAAGTTACCTTCACTATGCAGGAAGAGAGTCAGGTAGGGGAACGGACAGGAAACTGACTGATTCCTGCCAGGGCAACCCTGTTTGGCTGTTTCTGTAGTGGATACCTTATGGGGTGGCAGCAGCCAACCTCCCGTGTGACCTGGGGATGAACATGGCCAAGCAGGCTTAATTAGATCAGAGACACAAAGGGCTATTCCCTCCTTTGATAACAAATACCACAGCTGTTAAGTGCCTACAATAGCAAGCGAGAAACAAAGGCAGCAGAACAGAACCAAAATTGAATCCTTCCTTTAGCTGGCCCCTGACAATGATTTACATGTAACCTGGGAAGCGGCATGGCGCAGGAGACTCAGCTGGAAGCCAGCTCCAGAAGACAAATCGCTTGGGGATGGGGAGGGAGCAAGTAGCAAAATCTTTGTTTTGTAGCCCAAGTTTACTCTACTTCTTACACTTCACAGGGGGCTGCTTAATTTCAGTCTACGGCTCCCAGACCTGGTCCTGGTTTTACCAGCCTTGCACCCCAGAAAAACCACAAGATAAATCACCCCAGCTTCCCGAATCCCTCACACTGCTCTTTGGAGGTAGCACCGCCACAAACCTGCTCTGGCTTTACTACAGGGCATCCTCCAAGGCCACGGTAGGAAGGGGAAGCGGTCGGAAGGCAACAAGCAGGCATTGGTACTCTGAACTTTTCTCCACCCCTAAGTGCATAAGAGGCGTCGATTTTTGGACCCAAGTCCAGCAGGGATTAAGTGTCTGGCAAGTCCACAGTGTGCCTCACCTCGGGAAAGGAAGACAGATTGAGCCGGCGGGCAAGAAGCCCAGAAGCGCCCCCGGCCAAAGTGCTCCTACCTGCTCCCTCTTCCTCCTCCGTCCAAGATAACAAACTCAAGCCACAGCTGGCTGCGCTTTTCGCCAACTCTCCGTTTTCCAAATGGCCCAGGAGCCCAGATGGGGCCCAGAAGGTGGTGGAGGAGGGAGTGAGAGGAGGGAGGGAGCAGCGGCTGCTACAAACAGCTCCCTCACACAGCTCCGCTCTCAGCTCGCCGGTCAGCGAACCACCGCCTCTCGGGCCCCCTCCTCCCGGGCGGGCGCAGGGGGGCGCCCGGGAGGCGGCGTAGTCCGCGCGGCGTCGCTGTCGCTTACGTCCGGCTCGGCGGGGTGCAGGTGCGTGGCGAGCTCCTGCAACACCGCGGCGCGCCCGATCTGGTCGTTGCGCCGCTTCTCCATTATCAGGTCCTCCAGGCTCTGGAACTCGAGCGTGTGGCTACGCTGCGCAGAGAGCTGGATCTGCAGCCGGTAGGGCTGCTTACCGATGCGCAGCTCGCCGCCGATCTTGAACTCGCGCTTGCCGTAGCGGCACCAGGCGGCGAAGCTCTCCGAGTTGCGCCAGCTCAGCTCGCGCTCCTTGGCGCCCACGTGCGCCAGCGCGTTGCGCACCACGGCGCTGGGGCTCAGCGGCTTGTAGCGGTATAGCTCGTTTACCACGCGGCCGCGCCGGCCCTGGCTCGCGTCCGTCAGGAAGCTGTTGCTCACCTCCAGCCGGTGCAAATGCACCACCTGGAAGTTGCCCACGTAGACAGCCCAGTGCGGGTACTGCGCCTGCGACACGAACTCCACCAGGTCGCCAGGCCTGCACTTGTTGAGCAGGTTCTCGGGCGTGTAGGTGCTCAGCGCCGCGGAGCCCGGCGCGAAGCTTTTCTGGTAGATGCACTCGTCGCGGTAGAACACGGAGCACTCCACCTCGTGCAGCCGCGGGTCATAGGGCTGCGGCGAGGGCAGCGGCAGCCCGTCCCCGCCGTCGGGCAAACCGCCGCCACCGCCATCCGGCCCCTGGGGCGGCGGCTGCGGCTCCACGTCCTCGTCGTCATTGGAAAAGATGTAGGAGACCCCGATGCGGGGCCCGTCGTCCCGGTCCACGCCCGTCGGGTCGGCAGTGGGAACTTCTTTATAACTTAGGTGGGTCAGTTTCTCCACTTGGTTGCCCATCACGCTGCGGACACACGTTCACACCGACGTGAGAGGAGAAAGCGAAACCACCACTAGGGTCATTGGCACAGGTCCCCGGACAGGGGCTCAGACCCACCTGTTGGGAGAGGAAGGCAAGGAAGCCATGTAGGAGCCCTTCCGTGAAACGTGCGATTTGTTCTTAAGAGGAGGAAGAAAGGTTGGGTGTCGGGCACTTGGAGCCATTGTACGGGGAGTCTCAGATGTGGCGAGCTTTTCCTCACTTTTCTGCCTCCAGGGTCACGGTCGCAGGAGGCCGGGCAACTCCAGCTCTCCCCCGCCCCCAGCCCTTCACCTCGCCCGGGCAAAAGCCCATTGCATCAGCGACTCCTACCGCTTCCGCCAGCGCCCTACCTGCCAATCCCAAGCAGGAGGGAGAAAGGAAAACAAACTTTAATTCCCCTTTCCTAGCCCCCTCCTTTCACCTCAGGGCCCTAAGTTACCCCAGAGACGCCCCCCCCCCCCCCCC